GCACCTTGGCATTGGGACACCTTTCAGATTGACTCCAGAGTCTTTCTGACCCGACCCCAGTATTCTTTAAAGATGTTCAAAGCTCATCTTACAGGTTTCCTACCCTGGATCTGGAACCCGCCATTTCTTTCTGGAAACACTGGTTCTTTGCATTAGAAAATGGTGTGCATTTGCTTTTGACACGGTGGAATATTGCAATAATACTGCTGTTTTCCATTTGATGGAATTCATAGGTTTCTACTAATTTTCCATCATCCTCTTCCTTATTTCTCTGTAGCCTGTAGTGTTGATTCACTTGTGGAGAAGTGCAGGGAACAGCTGTTCTGCTCTGTGTGGGAATGTGGGCTAGGTCCTGGAGCTTCTGCTTTAATTTGTAAGCCTTGTAGGGGAGAGCCCTGAGTCAGAACCAAGGCTGGTGCCTCGGGGGACTGGCATGAAATAAATCCCAGGATCGCATGAGATTTTGATAACGCATCTAGTCACCACTCAGCTGCCAGGCCAGATCTCATCAAAGATAGGAGAAGCATTGCCTGACTTTCTAGTTTTTAAAATTCTCCAGTTAGAGAGTCCATCTTGAACCATTTAGCTGTGTGCTATACTGGATCACAAAACTACTCTAGAACCATTTAAGAGAAACCTAAATTGAGAGAAACTTTGCAAGAAGCATGAGAATTGATAGTAGGACCTGAGCTGCTTTTTTTTTTTTTTTTTTTTGTATGTGAAACCATAGCTTAACAACAAAACCGCTGATGAATTACAAGAGCTTTTGAGCTTTTGGTTCGGTGACAGCTCTTTCTCCTTGACCTGTGAGCTGTGCCAGGATGGGAGGAAATGGGATATACTTAAACTTGAATGGCAGCCTAAGGGGGTATGTCTGGTTACTTGGAATTGGTTTTGTTTATTTCTTTGATCCTGGTAGATAGTTAAATTTTGTTTTTTTAATTTTTTGGCTGACATTTTTTAATTCCATAAGAGCCAAAATATCAAACCTATAGGAGCAAACCTATAGGCATTACCTAAGGTAATGATATTTAATCGAGGGATTATGCATTCTTCCTGGGTTGCATCCTATAAAATTTCCTGTTTCAGTGGGTATAATGTTTCTGTTATAAACACTGCTGTCTAAAAAGGCCTAGCCAGGGAAGACATTTTTTAAAAATATTTTATTTATCTGTTCATGAGAGACACAGAGACAGAGGCAGAGGGAGAAGCAGGCTCCCTCCAGGGAGCCGGATATGGGACTCGCTCGCAGGACCCCAGGATCATGACGTGAGCTGAAGGCAGACGCTCCATCACTGCACCACCCAGGTGCCCCAGGAAGACATTTTTTAAGACAAATACTTAATGCCAAGGTACTAAATGGAGAGTAAAATCCATTGACAGTTTTATTTTCAAACGAAGTGATAGTATCTAAGAGGCTTAGGTATGAGTGTTGAGTAGTTTTCAAACTGTATCGTTCCTCCAGGTAATGCCTGGATTCCTACCTGTTTCGGCACACCTGTGTGTATGCCCCTTTCCCTCCACCAGTGACAGAAATCCTTCATCTAGCCAGGGTCCAAACTGCAGAGGAAAACTGTGTGACCTTCAGGTTCTTCTGGGTCAGCATTTATAGGACACTGACCTTTGTGGTATTAAAATGCCAGAACCCATTCATTCTTTTCTTTCAGCTCCCCACACACTCATTATGGCCCAGAGACAGCCCCCCATCCCACAGGGGCCTCCATGCCAGTGGGTCAGGATGCACTCAGAGTAAGACGCATCACAAAGGAAGACAGGTATCCTTCTGGAAATGGCTGTCAATTTGAAATTGGATATACAGCTCTGGAATGCTGGGTTCTCTACTTTGCAACCTGTTCATGTTCCTCATCATACTGAAAAACTAAACATTGCTGAACAGGAGGGAAGGAGGAGCACAGATTCCATTTTAATTTAAAATAAATGAGAGTAAGCAAATAATTGAATCTAAAAACAAGTTGCACTGAAGTGAAAGGAGAAGAATAATATTCATTTCCTCCATTGATCAATTTGTAGAGTTTACAAAGGAAGCACATGCCCTATTTCACAAGGGATCCACCTGGATGCCAGATTTGTAGGTCAGACAGGTGCTGGAATCCCACTTCAAGGATTCTGAGACGGAGTTCAGGGCATTAAGTGACTTCTGGCAGAGCCAATGTTAGAATGCAAATCTGTGACTAAAAGCCAGCTTACAGGGCACCTGGGCAGCTCGGTTGGTTGGGTGTCTGCCTTTGGCACAGGTCATGATCTCAGGGTCCTGGGATCGAGCCCCGTGTAGGGTTCCCAGCTCAGCGGGGAGTCTGCTTCTCCCTATTCCCTGCCCCCACCATCACTGGTGCTCTCTCTCTCTCTCTCTCTCTCTCAAATAAATATAATGTTTTTTAAAAAGTAATAAAAGCCAATTTAAGGAACTCTTACCATGTGCAGGGCACTGGAGATTCAGAGATTAATAGGAATGGTTTCTTACCCTGGAGGAACAATTTAGACCTATCTATTTTCTCAGAAGCTCATCACTGGAGACACTTGGCCTTCCCTGTGACAGATCTCCTGCCAGGCCACCCCTTCACCCTCAGGGCCTCAGCCATGACCTTGCTAAGAGAGTCTCATTTCCACCTTTCACCACCAGGTCCTGTTCGACTCTAGCTTTGCTCCTTATTTTGGAAATAGATGCCATTTTATTGTATGTTACTTTCTAGTTCTAGAATTTCCATTGGTTGGTTTCTTTGCTGATAGTTTTTTTTTTTTTCCATTTCAATAGATATTTCCCTTTACTTCATTGCAACACATCCTTTAAAATCCTTATTTGCTAAATCCAACATCTGGGCCATCATCTTAAGATTGGTTTCCACTGCTTATCATTTTTTTCTTGAGACTAAGTCATAATTTTCCGGCATTATTATTATTATTATTATTTAAATTCATTTAGCCAAAAAGAAAAAGAAAAAAGAAATTCAGTTAGCCAACATATAGTAGTACATCACTAGTCTCAGATGTAGTATTCAACAATTTATGAGTTATATAACACCCAGTGCTCATCACATCACCTGCCCTCCTTAATGACCATCACCCAGTTACCCCATTCCCCCACTCCCCTCCCCTCCAGCAACCCTCAGTTTGTTTTCTAATTTGTGTTTCTTTGGGTATCAAATGATTTGAGATTGTACCTCGGACATTGCCATACTGTAAAGACTCAGGATTTTGTTTTATTTCTCCAAAAGATTTTGGTTTTTAGCTTTAGCAGGCAATTAATTTGGTCGGACTCAAACTGCACATTCACCATCTTGAGCAAAATATCACTTTGCTTCTTCTGTCTTTAGCAGAGCTGCTTTGGGTCATCCCTTAGCGGTGCATGGTTCCAGAGTCAGCCAGAGCCTGGGGCAAATTCACATTGGAATTTAGAGCTGGCTCCCTTCTCTAACTTTATTCCTCTCCTCACTTTCCAGTGACTACAGTTGCCCTGAACTCTGCCCTCTGGTTCTTCAGGCCGGAAACTGTGGGCTTTCTATCTACTTTTAGTCATCCTTTGTGGCTTTGGCCTTCTCTCAAGCTAACTATGAAAGTCAAGAAAACAAGAATGTCACCAGGTGCCATCCTTTCTTTCAAGATTCATTCCTCCTCTACCCAGCAGCACCTTAGGAACCTAAGTGCCTTCAGGTCATTGATTCGGGGGAGGAAAAGAGTTAAGGGTTTTTCATTTCTATCTAAGGGGTGGTTGGTTCCAGTGACCCTACAGAGCCATTCCAGAACTAGATCTCTGTCTTTTACGGCATTATTCCTCTCTGTGTAAACTTTTGTTTGCACAAAGGGTCCACCAATGAAAAGTAAGACCAAAGGTTTGAAAATCCACTGTACTTGAGCAATTTCTAGCCAGATTTTAAATCCTCTGACGTCACTTCTAAGTGACCTGCATGTCCAGAGCTTGTGGTGGACACTCCCGGTGACGGAGGCTTCACCCTTCTGTGCTTCCTCTCCCTGGTCCTCAGCGTCGCAGGACCCGCCAGCTCTTTGCCCAACTCTCTTCAATCGCAGAACTTTAGCAAAAGCTCCTCAGAAGGAAAAGCTGGTTGAGTTACAGCAGCTAAGTGTTGCCTTTCTCTGATGAACATTTTAAATGGATGCCTTTGGTGGAAGAGGATGATAAAAGGAGGAAGTTTGCAATTGAGCCTTTATTCTGACTTCTGGTTGACACCCAGGAAAGCCTCATTGGCCTGGCATCTGCCTTGGTGCGTGTAGCATCCTGGAACTGAGCTAAGGAAGGCCACCGGCCTAGAACATCTGCTATCCATGGACCTGCTCAGGAAGGAGACAGGAAGATGAGTAGAGTGGTGTGCACCTTGCAGTTGTATTAGGGGATAACCCGAGGAGCTGTTGCTGGGTCCAAATGTGACGAGAGATTTGGGACATCCTACTGTGTAAACAAACTAAAGGTAGTACAGGAAAACTACTGTCACATGGACAGTGGCCATGGAAATTAGAGCCTTTGGTCTTTCTCTGAATTTGCCTCAAGCCCCAAAACCTAAGAAGTCCTCCCGTTTCTGTCAGATGTTTGCATCAGGAACAGTGGGTTTCTAGGGATGTCTGCAAACTAAATGGTGAAAATATACACGTGAAGGCCTATGAAGGAAAGCAAAGTCTAGAGCCTGGGAGGGATTTGTTTAGAGATGGTGGCTAGTATGGAAAAGAAGTCACTGCTTTTTTTCCCTTCATTTCCCTTCATGTAAGGCACTGAGCCTTTCCTGATGTCTTCAGGGTGCATTTGTCTCTGTCCTTCTGAGGAGCAGGGTATTAAGTGTTTGTGCCAGCAAAAAAAAATGCTGTACAGTATTTTGAGTTAGCCAATTCCCTGGTAAGGTCTGCAATCCATTTGTGCATTACTTGCTCTTTACCTACCCACTCTCCTAGTAAGAGCACAAAAAATAAAAGTAAAATGTATTCTGTTTGTCTTTTTGCCTTTTTAATTGTTCCCCCCCCCCCTTTTTTTTAAGTATCAAAAGCAACCAATGCTACTGTGGATCCCCGGTCATTTTTTCTCAAGAATACCAATGATGGATTTGAACCATTCCCACTGGAGGATGATGAGGAGAAAAATGAAAGCGAGTTCCCTGAAGTCAGATTAAGCTCCATCAATAAAAGCCGTCCTCTTCAAAAACTGCCCCCTGTGTCTATCTCGGAGGATGCCTCGGGATATCTGACCAGCTCCTGGCTGACACTCTTTATCCCCTCTGTCTACACTGGTGTGTTTGCAGTAAGCCTTCCTCTGAATATCATGGCCATCCTCGTGTTTATCTGGAAGATGAAGATCAAGAAGCCCGCTGTGGTGTACATGTTACATCTGGCCGCGGCAGATGTGCTCTTCGCGTCAGTGCTCCCCTTCAAGATCAGCTATTACTTTTCTGGCAGTGATTGGAAATTTGGTTCTGAACTGTGTCGCTTTGTCACCGCCGCCTTCTACTGTAACATGTACGCCTCCATCATGCTCATGACGGTCATCAGCGTTGACCGGTTCTTGGCCGTCGTGTACCCCATCCAGTCCCTCTCCTGGCGTACCCTGGGAAGGGCGTCCTTCACTTGTCTGGCCATCTGGGCCATGGCCATCGCGGGGGTGGTGCCTCTGCTCCTCAAGGAGCAGACCACCCAGGTGCCGGGGCTCAACATAACCACCTGCCATGACGTGCTCAATGAAACCCTGCTCGAAGGCTATTATGCGTATTACTTCTCATCCTTCTCTGCTGTCTTCTTTTTTGTGCCCCTGATCATTTCCACCGTCTGTTACGTGTCCATCATCCGATGTCTGAGCTCCTCCACGGTTGCCAACCGGAGCAAGAAATCCCGGGCTTTGTTCTTGTCCCTCGCTGTCTTCTGCATTTTCATCATTTGCTTCGGACCCACAAACGTCCTCCTGATTCTGCATTACTCATTCCTCTCTCAAGATTCCGTGACAGAGGCTGCCTACTTTGCCTACCTCCTGTGTGTCTGTGTCAGCAGCATAAGCTGTTGCCTCGATCCCTTGATTTACTACTATGCTTCTTCCGAGTGCCAGAAGCACCTCTACGGCATCTTATGCTGCAAGGAGGGTTCCGATCCCAGCAGTTACAACAGCAGTGGTCAGCTGATGGCAAGTAAGATGGACACCTGCTCTAGTAACCTGAATAACAGCATATACAAAAAGCTTTTAACTTAGGAAAGGGGACTGCTGGTGAGTTAAAAAGAAAACGTTAAAATAGTGAGCAGCCTGAGGATTGTATCAGTCCCTGCCAAAAAGGTATTTACGATCAAAAACAACAAATATATGATTCACATGCTTCTTTCTCGTGAGAGCCGTTAATCGTGTGTATTTGTTAGTTACAGGAAAAGATAACAAGAATAGAAAACAGTGTCATTGCGAGAGAGTATCGCCAGTGCCACGATAATAACGGAATGTCCTCTTCTCATGCATTTAGGAGACTTACTACATACATATGCGTGGATGTGGATAGGTGTGTGCACACATACTTACATCATTTGTAATGCAGTATAGAATAGACACTTGAAACCCTCTCTTTTTTCCACCAGAGATAAGGAAAGAGATGTTTAGGTTGCTGGAGTTTAGCCCAGAACATCTGAAGATGTTCATCTATAGGGAGGGACCCTATGGTTCGGACTTACAGAGCTTTTGCAAATAAGTGTATCTTGCAACTGCTCGACAGCAAAGTTTAACTTATTAAGGGATAAGACTTAGTAGTACTATCTGTGTGTAGAGGAAGTTCTGTGCTTCATTTTAAACATATCAAGGTTTGAATTCTTTAAATTATGAAAACAAATGATATGGGTGGCATGTTTGATATTTTGCACTCTGTGTATGTAAACCAAGAATGAGCGTAGGTCCACGCTAGGTTGGCTTTCAAAGTAATCTGCCCCCAGGTGGAGGTCTCCACGCAGTAGATGCAAAGCAGGGCCGTTTCAGGCATGGGCTGGCCAGGAACCCCCCAGCTGAGCCTGCCAGAGTTCAGCACTGGGACCACCACACTGCGCTCTCCTCCTGACGTTCCCTCCAGGGGTGGCTATGAACTGTCTTGTGTATTAGAAATTGGCAAAGTAGGTTGTGCTATCCCAGGAGATAATATAAACGACTTTCCTGCCCATTTTAAGAGCAGAGAAAGAAGGCACCTTCGCTTCCAGCAGTTATCCCACCAGGACCACTCTCAGATGGAAACACTCACAGAGCCAACATGAACACACATTCTGTGCTCCGGGCGCAATGATGGGTGCTGGGCATATAGAGTTGGGTAAAATGGAGACCTGCCCACAAGGAAAACAAATTAGACCAATACAGAGTGTGGTATGTGTATAATAAATAAAACATGTCCTTCTGTAGAGTTGTTTTAGCTAGATGTCACCGTACACGTTTCATACAAGCAAAGATTGTCAGTTGAAGAACACTGAACGTTTGGATTATTATTTCCTGTGGTTATAACTTGAGATGAAAACATAACACAACACAGGAAGCATATTCTTAAAAACAAGTCCTCCGGTCTGCATTAATTGGACATGATTTATTTATAAATGCTTTCAATAAATTTAATCAGATTTTTGTAGAATAATCAATGATGCCATTTTGATGAGACAGAGCAGAAGAAAATGAAACAGACTTTGAAATATAGGAAAATTATTCTACATTTTCCATTCACTTTTTTTAAGAGTTAGTGAGATGATTTTAAAGGCATTTTTTAACCCCATGATTAGTATTAAGTACAGAAAATAATTTAAAAATTAAGTTGAAATATGTAATCTTTTCCTAATGAAGCAGTGTTGGCCTTTTAAACAAAAATGAAAAGTTGCAAGGCAGATGTTTAACCTATTTAAAAGAGCAAACAATTTCCAAATGCCATGGAATAATTAAATAGAATAACATAATGTAAGTAGAAGTTAGCAATGACTTTATTTTTTTTAGCATTGATTTTATTAATTTAGTTACTGTATCTTACCCAACTCAGTGGAGATTTGTTTATTCAATCTGAAATTTTAAAATACCTCTGACCTAATATGACTATCGTTACTCTGTTATCAGTCTGTACTTATAGTATGTCATTGTTTTTATGTTATCTCTTTTTAAAATATGTATGTAACCTATATTAATAAACATGAAAGTTTGCTTGGTATCTGTTTGGAATAAATAGACTATCTATCAGGGCTGCGGGCAGGAAGGCCAAGTCTTAGGGTTTAGCTGAAGGTGTTTCATGAAGAGGCAATGCACGGAGATGCCCACAGGGACATCTGTGGAGCCAGTGGTGGCTGCTGAAGCACAGCAAGGATTGGCAATCTGGGGGGCCGTTATCACCCCAGCCCTGAAGGGGTAGATGAGGGGTTACTCCAACCTGTGCTTCAACCCTCTGACCTCTCACTGGTGTGTCCTGGTCTTGCTCTTGGTCTTAACCCAAACTCAGAGGTCAAGGGAACCTGGTGACTTAGTCCGTGAAGGTCTGCTTCTTGGGAATAGAGCTGGAAAAACAAAGGAGTTGGGTGACAAGCTTTCTGTGCTTTTTTTTATACATTCTTAAGAAAATTGAAAGTTGTGTCATTGAGAATATGTTCAGATTCCTGGGCTGTAGGCATCAGGAACAGACCACGTTTCTTTCCTAAGGAAGAGAGAAAAATTACCTGTTCGAGCCAGGAGGCTATGATGAAACCCCAAGGACTGCCCTTCGAGGGACAGCCCTTACCATCTAGTGCTCCCTGGGGCAAAGACAGGGGCAGGGGAGGGAATTAAACACAGAATGATAAGCACCTCTGAGAGTTGAAGATCAGTAAGAAACACTTTTTTTTAAGATGTTATTTATTTATTCATGAGACACAGGCAGAGGGAGAAGCAGGCTCCAAGCTGGGAGCCCATGTACGATCCAGGGACCCAGGGTCACGCCCTGGGCTGAAGGCGGGCTATCAACCACTAAGCCACCCGGGCGTCCCAGTAAGAAACATTCTAATAAACATATTTCTTTTTTTTTTAATTTTTATTTATTTATGATAATCACACAGAGAGACAGAGAGAGAGAGGCAGAGACACAGGCAGAGGGAGAAGCAGGCTCCATGCACCGGGAGCCCGACGTGGGATTCGATCCCGGGTCTCCAGGATCAGGCCCTGGGCCAAAGGCAGGCGCTAAACCGCTGCGCCACCCAGGGATCCCCTAATAAACATATTTCTATATCCATAATCAACAAGAAAATTTTTTCAGCTGAAGAATTATTCGGTCAACAGAATTTTTAAGTTAATATACAAGCTTAAGTTTCTGAGGCCTGGGCACTCGGTAAATGTTTCAGGCCTGGATATATTGAAATAGGCCCCACCAGTGGCCACCAGAAATGGGACCCCTGCCCTAACCAGAAAGTGACCTTTAACCCTTTTACTGTCATTTTTCAAAATATGTTTGAAGTTAAACACACACACTTGAGGGGCGCCGAGGTGGCTGCCAAATAAATAAGTAAAATAAGTAAAATTGTAAAACTACACGCACACACTTGAATTTTCTTAACACACAATAGTTTGTCTTTTCCTACCACATCAAAAATAGGATTTTTAAGGAAATAGGATATTTGGCTATTGAATACAAATGTGGAAAATTTTAGGTTATTCTTATAAATGTAAGAAATGGAGAAAAATTGGCATATCCTTCAGGAAGTTTTAAGCCCTAAGAGCAAGTGGACAAAGTTAAGTGGTGTTTATGAACAAAGTTGTTTTTTTTTTTTTAAGATTTTATTTATTTATTCATAGACACAGAGAGAGAGGCAGAGACACAGGCAGAGGGAGAGGGAGACACAGGTTCCATTCAGGGAGCCCAATGTGGGACTCGATCCTGGGTGCAGGCAGTGCCAAACTGCTGCGCCACCGGGGCTGCCCTTTGAACGAGGTTTTTAAGTGTGTGAGGCCTGGACGCTCCACCAGAAACTAATCTTCAAGGTGACTTAGTAAAAATGAAGGGGAAAATAGCCACAACAGTGATTTCCAGGCAGAAATGGCATCACCGTGTGGCTCTTCCTTTCAAAATTACTAGACCAGAGGTATGTGTGGAGAGTAACTGAGCTCAGGATAAGCCTAGTTGTGCCTGGTGAAGGAAGTGGTTAAGCAGGCCGCAGTGTGAACAAAGAAGAAATGCTCCAGTGCAGGGATTCTGAGTCTTTGAGGCCTTTCTGGAAGATGTACGGCATCACAGCTCTCTTAAAGCACTACTGTGTCATTTGCTTTTCCTCGGTCCGATTCTTTCATGACCATGCGGTTGAGTTTTCCAGTGACTGCATGACGGGATATCACAACAGAGGGAACGCAGGAGGAGACACGAAAATCTGACCATCTTCCATCAAAGCCAGCCATTAAAGAAATGTGCAAAGACAGAAAACAGTGCAACTGTCCTCAAGGAATCATTATTTGGGGAAGAAAATTTTTTTGTGAAAAGAATATAGTATTTCTGTTAACATGTCATAGATTTATTAAGTGAAAAATATTTTCTAAAGTTCTCCATTTTAATGTCTAATATGGTAAATGTTGGTGGATACAATCGGTGTGGTTTGCTGTTGATCTCCAGAAAAAAGAAAGAGCCCCAATACATAGCATTTGCCAATTTCCATAGTGTAAATACCCTTCTTGTCTGCCAATTACAAGTTTTCAATGGTTCCAACAGTTGGCTTGAGAAATTCCTGAATATTGAGGGGTGCCTGGTAGCTCAGTACTTGAGCGTCTACCTTCGGTGCAGGATGTGATCCCAAGGTCCCGAGATCGAGTCCCACATCAGGGTCCCCGCAGGGAGCCTGCTTCTCCCTTGCCTGTGTCTCTGCCTCTCTCTCTGTGTTTCTCATGAATAAATAAATAAAATATTTTTTAAAAAAAGAACAAAATTCCTGAATATTGAATTCTGATACAAGCTGACTCCAGCACACCACTGCATATAATCTACATAAATGAAAAATCTTTAGGGTCCTCAATAATTTTTCAGTGCATTAAGGTGTCCTCAGCCTTGTCCTGCTCTTAGGCAAGATTTCCCAACTTTATTGCCTTCCAGGAGATGTAGAAATCAGTCATAATTAAAAAGCAGTTCTAAGGGTAAACACTTGGCTCCAGCCACCACACTGAGTTTCTGGCAGCCTCACAGCTGAAAGGATCAGTACCTTGAAGCAAGAGCAACCGATTCAAGCAGGTCCAGTGGCTTCAAAGTTGGCAAGCATTGTGGGAGTCCTGTTTTACAGCCAGCTACTGTGAACTCCCCCCAGCAGCCTCACTAAAGTGAACGTCAGCCTCCACACTTCTTATCGTGTGGACTGTTGACTGCATGCTGGTCTTCTGGAAACAGAAAACCAGAGGTCAGATTCAACAGCATCTTGGGATTCAGATAACAGTAGCTTTTAGCCAGCTGGCTGTATGCTCATCACTTCAGGAAATGACTCAGGAGGCCCTGTGGAGATCAGCTTGGAAAGCTGCATTTATAGCCTGAAGACATCAGGTGGTAGCAGGGCCAGTAGGCCTATTTTGCTCATTTTAATGACCACAGTATTGGGACTTTTTAGCATGCTGCTGCGTGACCCATGCAGGGAAGTGAGAACATGATGGAGGGTGGGATAGCCAATACTCTGATGCATTTAAGAAGACCCGGGGCGCCTGGGTGGCTCAGTGGTTGAGCCTCTGCCTTCGGCTCAGGTCATGATCCTGGGGTCCTCAGTTCGAGTCCTGCATCAGGCTCCCCAGGGGGAGCCTGCTTGTCCCTCTGCCTATGTCTCAATAAATAAATTCTTAAAAAAAAAAAAAGTGTATAAGACCCTGGGGTGTGCCTGGGAGGCTCAGTTGGTTAGGTGTCCAACTCTTGATTTTAGCTCAGGTCAGGATTAAGGAATCATGCTGCTAGAGAATTCCCTCTCTCTCAGCCTCCCTGTACTCGTGCTCTCTTATGCGCGTTCTCTCTCTCTCTCAAATATAAATAAATCTTAAAAAAAAAAAAAATAAGACCCTGGGATGAACTGGCTGGCTCAACTGGTAGAGACTCTTGATCTCAGGGTCTTGAGTTCAAATACCACAGTGAGCCTGGGCTTACTTATGGGGAAAAAAAAAAAAAAAAAGACCTAAATTGTTCTGTGTGTTTTAGTTGTTTTGTTTCTTATCCCAAGATATATAATTGCTCTTAAACTAGTCTACATGATGTTAAAAAATATTTTTTAATGTATTCCTGTCTTCCGGGAGTTAACCAGGTTTTAGATTCAATCATAATATAGAATACTTCATTAAGAAGCATGGAATTTGAAGACCTCAGATCTTATAGCAACTCTGCCTTGTTAGAAGGAAGTTTCGGGAACTTTAGGTCAGTTCTCATCCCTGGCTACACACAGAGTCACTGTAGATCTGCTAAACATTTCCAGTGTCCAGTCCCCAGTCTCAACCACTATGAGTCAGAATCTTTGGGGTGGGGCCTGGACATGTTGTTTTCAGGCTCCCTTGGAGAGTCTAACGCGTAAGCCAGAGTTCACAGCACTGCTTTAAGGAGTGCTTCTTGGGGCGCCTGGCTGGCTCAGTCGTAGAGCATGTGACTCTTGATCTCAGAGTCATGAGTTCAAACCCCACATTGAGCATAGAGCTTACACTGAAAAAAAAAATGCTTCTCAAATTTAACATGCATTCAAATTATCCGGGGATCTTCCTAACTACAGTCGACACGGGGTGGGGTCTGCATGTCTAACCAGTTGCCAGGTGATGTTGACATGGATGTTGACATGGCGGTTCCTCAGACCACACTTGGAGTGCCAGGGCCCTAAGAGATGGCCCTGGGACAAAAGTGGCCACGTTTAAGGTCCAAGCACTCAAAAAAATTCAATTCTCATATCCTTAAAATCATTTTCTGAGGCATTAGTTTTAATTGTGGTAAAATTGGGGCAATTTTTAATGTAACTTAGGTGCTTAATCAGGTTTGTTTTAGGTGATATCTATCTTGCTGTATTTTCCCCCCCACTCTTGGGTTCTTTTCCAGGGGGAGAGATAGCTTAAAAGGTTCTAATCTCATACATAGAACTAATTCACAGGAGGCTGGGGATTTAGAGTGGCGGCTCCCGACCCCTGTTTGTACAGATAATGCCCAGCAGATAGCAGCAGGGCCTGGTTACCAGAAAGCACAGCTGTTTCTTGTTTCTG